GGAATCACGGCTTTGAGAGTAAAAAAAAACATACACAAACAAAACCAAATTAAACCCTGCGGCTTGTGACGATACATTGATGTGTAAAGACACAAAACGATCAGTCTGTGCAAGGAACTGAACAGTATTTATATCTACATATAAATACTATATCTATCTACAATCTCAATTAGGAGTGTCATTGGTCCACTTGAGAGACAGGTGGCAGTAATGCACTTATAAGTCTGTGATCCGCCATAAAGCAAGAAGACGACGCCTCACGTGCCTGCTGTTGAGAACACGCTCAGGAGGACGCGCCGCCCATCAGGAGAGTTCGAACAGTTCGGACATTGCGTGAATCAGAGGTAAAAAACGATATTTTGCAAAGACCGATCATTTTGTGTCTTTACACATCAATGTATTGTCACGAGCCGCAGGGTTTAATTTGGTTTAGTTTGTGTATGTTTTTTTTTTTTTTACTCTCAAAGCCGCGAATCCCATTCACCTCCATTATAAGACTGACAGACTGTTTGAGTTAAAAATCTCCGTTTGTGTTCTACTGAAGAAACAAAGTCACCTACATCTTGGATGCCCTGGGGGTAAGCAGATAAACATCACAAATTTCATTTTTGGGTGAACTATCCCTTTAATGTTTTGTTCATGTTCATGATGCTGTAGCGCATCTGCAGCACTAGAGGGCGACACAGAATCACTGTTCTGTATGTGAAACGTACTGCTGGGATATTACGTGTCATTCGATGAAAGTAGGCTAATAATGCATTAAAAATAATTTTAAAAATTAGGTTAGCGTACTATTGATCAAGTACTCACCTACATCTTGGATGCCCTGGGGGTAAGCAGATAAACATCACAAATTTCATTTTTGGGTGAACTATCCCTTTAATGTTTTGTTCATGTTCATGATGCTGTAGCGCATCTGCAGCACTAGAGGGCGACACAGAATCACTGTTCTGTATGTGAAACGTACTGCTGGGATATTACGTGTCATTCGATGAAAGTAGGCTAATAATGCATTAAAAATAATTTTAAAAATTAGGTTAGCGTACTATTGATCAAGTACAGCATCTCTGTAAGTTGTCAAGAGCTATAGAACTTTTGACCTCATTATCTTTTGTCATAAGGATGAAATAATGAATTAATAAATAAATACACCAAAATCTTGCAAAATTGAAAGTCAAATGCCCAGTAAAGGAAAAGGAAATATAAAGTTTAGATCCGTGTATTTCAGAATATTGTTGATTGCTTTAAATGAAAATACACGAAAGTAATTTCCAAAGCATTATTTCATTACCAAGCAATTGGTTCAGTTGATTTGAAGTTTCGAAAAGCTTAATTTCTCCCATCAATAGTTAAATGACCTTTAGATTGAATTGGCTGAATCCACTTATGCAGATCTTTTGGAAATTCATAGAGAGACAAACACAGCTGCTTTCTTATTGTTTGAACAAAAGAACTGCAGATTTGTTTTTTGTTGTTGTTGTTTTTTTAGATTAACATTGTATAAATAGAAAAGGACTGATATTAAAAGTCTCCAGAAAGATCTGTGAACACAGTTACACTGGGAATGACAGTATTGCAGAGAAAAACAATAAACATTCAATTCAGGTTTATTTGTATAGCGCTTTTCACAATGCATATTGCTTCTAAGCAGCTTTACAGATAATTCTTGTTTCAATGTTAAAACTAGAAAGTATTCTGTAATAAGCCACAGATGAACTATCAAAGTAATGTCCATAATATGGCTGTAATATAATATAACACATTATATTAGTTAAGATTAGTATTCAGCTATGTACAACAAACATGTTAGACAACAGTTACAGCTTGTGCTTGTAATGATTACAATATAAGGATAATATTTGACAGTTTTGTATGTTGATCCAAGGTTGGCATCATCTGAAGTCTTTGCAGTTTTTGGTGTCGCCCTGATATCTTCGCAATTGTTGGATCCAAACTGCTGCTGGCGTAATCTAATTAAACAAACCTGCATAACCAAATACAAATATTTATTCTTAAATAAAACAACTGTAGAATTACAAAATCTAAAATAAAACATTGTTTTTATATTGTTAAAGTATAATTCTGTGTAGCTCAACAGCAATACTAAATCTGCCTTGAAACTGGTTAAAAGTTATTTATTTATTTATAGGTTGCTTTATATCTTCACGGTCTGGTAGTAAAATAGTACATATAAATACATTTAAAAATAAGTAATACTTGTCTGATTACATGACTGAAAATGACACTTCTGAACCCAGAACCGATATACATGTTTTTGGTCCAACTGAGAATCTGGTTCCCAAGAACTTGACCTCCACACCAGCAGATACACCTGTGTCAACTTTAGCTGATGCACTGCCAATTTCAGCTCGAGCCTTTGCTCCGGCCCTGAGTCTAGCCACTGAAATACACTGAATTCAGCACAAGCTCGTCCAACTCCTGCTGCTGCATAGACTCTTGGGAGTCCTTTTTCCTGGTTTGTTTTTAGGCTTTTCTGCGTACACTCCACTTTGAGCATAGGTGCCTTCTGCATTGGCATCTGCTGGTCTGTCATGCCTATGACATTGCTTAATGAAACATTAGCTGATGCAGGTTGCACACTTGGCTTTTTGGTAGTATTCCTTGTGATCCATATTTCCTTTTTTAATTTTTTTATTCATTTGTGACCCTGGAGCACAAAACCAGTCTTAAGTCGCTGGGGTATATTTGTAGCAATAGACAAAAATACATTGTATGGGTCAATATTATTGATTTTTCTGTAAAGATCATGTTTCATGATGATATTTTGTAAATTTCCTACTGTAAATATATAAAAACTTAATTTTTGATTAGTAATATGCATGGCTAAGGACTTCATTTGGACAACTTTAAAGGCGATTTTCTCAATATTTTGATTTTTTTGCACCCTCAGATTCCAGATTTTCTAATAGTTGTATTTCGGTCTTATATTGTCTGATCCTAACAAACCATACATCAATGGAAAGCTTATTTGATGTATAAATCTAAATTTTGAAAAATTGACACTTAAGACTGGTTTTGTGGTCCAGGGTCACATTTCAATTGACAAAGTGAAATCTAAGTTGGGTTGTCCTTCACGCAGCTGTGTGGTATAAAGTTTATCACATTCTCCATCTGCAAATAAAACAAATTATCTTTAAAGGGATAGTTCACCTAAAAATGAAAATTACCCCATAATTTACTCACCCTCAAGCCATCCTAATTGTATATGACCTTCTTCTTTCAGACGAATCCAACCGGAGTTTTATAAAAAAATATCCTGGTTCTTCCAATCTTTATAATGGCAGTGAATGGGTGTTATTTTTCAATAGTCCAAAAGAAGCCCAATAAAGTGCATCCATATGTCTTGTTTAGTTGCTTGTTGTGTATATATGACCTCAGTTTTTTCTTCTTCTTCCCATTGTCTTGTATTGTATTTGGATTGTAGCAAAGCTGTTAACATTTTTTCTTTGCACATTTTTTCCTTCACTGTCATTGCAGTGCCAGGAAACAATTATATTCCCAAATGCCCGCTGTCAGATCAGTGTGCCTGAACATTATGATGGAGATGATTTCTAATGGTGAAATGTTGTCAGCAGTACGTGCTTTGTTAATGTGTGCCTCATTATATACTTAGTTGCATGTTAATATGCATCACTATAAGTATCTTATATTTTTGAAGCATTTCATAAGCTGTAATTTTCAAATTACGCTTACTTAATAGCCTGTATTTCTAAATCTTTGAGTCACATGGATTCAGTCTTGTGTCAAAAAATAAATAAGTATGCAAATGAATTGTCTCATAGTAAGCCTTGAATCTTTTGGTTTCTTTAACTGTGTTTTAGTGATTTAACATACTTGTATTTTATCAGGCTAATGATACAGCAGTTGTTGGCATTTCAGAAAGACTTGTCTATGTTTAATATTTATGTAAACTACCAGTTTTTGGTTTAGGAAGACATGACAGTGTGAAATGATGACATCATATTCATTTTTGGATTTACTGTTTCTTTTAAAATGAGGCAGTGATGCTGCTCTTCTGTGACTTTTATTTTGGAATGACTGAAGTTTACTCTGAGACAGGTTTCACTCTGAAGTGCTGAGTTTAGCTGCTGTCTGTCAGATACTGTGTTGGTCATATCAGGAGAGGCTTTAACACGCCTGTGATCAGGTGAGATGTGAGACTTACATGTTTTTAGCATGATAATGCACTAATTGTAATATAAATTGTTTTAACCCAGCAAAGTGTTTTAACCCAGATTTTTAAATATGTTGCACATGGCAGTTTTCTGCTGCTGTATCATTAGGGCACTGAAAGTGCAAAAGGCACTATTGTTCTTTTATTATTATTATTATTATTCTCAAGGTTTTGGATGTTTTGCCATGATTTAAAAACCTTTGGCTTTTAGATAGGGTGTGGCGGGGGGTCCTGTAGTGCCCCCTTTTACCTAAATAAACATTACACATATATGTACCAAACTTGGTACTTTTCCTGCCGAATTTTCTGTGAACAACATTATGCCAAGACAATGAAGATGCTAAATTGTGAATGGATGTTTAATATATTGATCGGTTTGGCTGTGACGAGGGGATAAATTGATGGTAGAAACAGAAAAACAGTAAGTTATCTGTTCTACTTCACCACAAAGAATACTGCACTCTTCAAGGGACGGTATTTCTCAATCTTAAGTAAAATTAATGATAAATTAACAAAGAGTCTATAAAAATGTTTTTTTCTATACTTTTTATGAATAAAATATTTTTACGCATGCATTATGTAAGATTACATACAGTACTCATTTAATTACACAGGTTAAGATACTCCTGCCTTCTTTCTAAACACCAGCAAGCTGAAGTGTCAGTCTAGTATATTTGTTATTTTTATTTATTTTTATATTTCATGCTAGTTTTTTTCCCTTCTTAAAGATTTCGTTTGGATCACACATAAGAAGGCAAGGAAGATGAAAGCAGGTAAAGTTCACAGGCTTAGATGCCAAATGTATTTTGCTTTTGATTGATATACAAACATTTAAATGTTTTCTGTAAACGAGAGAGAATACTCAACTATTTGAACATTTATCTTGTGCACGACTGTCCTTTATGTATGTTCCATGCACGTCATACCCAGAACAACAAAAACAACTTGAAATCGGATTTGTTAAAAATGTTCATTTTCAAAAATCTGATTTTAATATTTCAAGCTACGTAGGGTGGTTTGTAAAATATTTTTTTGTGTACTATTTACTTGCAAGATTATCTCTTCCAACTTTGCTTTATTAAAATAATTGCAAAAGTTTGACTTTCCAATGATGTTTCTTTTCTGACAGAAATAAGAGCTGTTGTTCTGGGGTGGCAGAAATCTGACAAAGCCTCAGTGATAAACAGCATTTTAGGTGTTGAAGTTGAAACTGACAAATACTTTGTGAAGTCTGTGAAGAAAGACGGTGAAGTGAATGGAAGGAAAATAACTCTGATCAACACTGCATGTTGGTGGGAGAAATTCAGTTTGCAAGACTCACCAGAGGTTGTCAAACAGGAAGTGGCTTGCAGTGTCTTCCTGTGTGAAACGGGGCCTCACGTCTTTCTCATAGTCATTAATCTCAGTTTGCCTTTTACTGAAGAAAACAGACTCAGCATTGAGGAGCACCTTGGTCTCTTTGGTGAGAGAGTCTGGAAACACACAATAGTGATCTTTACAGGAGCTGATTCACTAAAGGACAAATCCACTGAGCAGCACATAGAGAATCAAGGAGAAGATCTGCAGCAAATCCTAGAGAGATGTGGAAAAAGATACTATGCTTTTGATTTCAAAAACAAAAGTGATAGAGTCAAAGAGCTACTTGTCAAAATTGATGATGTTGTGGCAGCAAACAATGGCAAGCATTTTGAAACACAAGATGACATGCTGCTTGACATTCAGAGCAAGAGAAATAAAACCAAAGAAAAAGCAGAAGCCAGACAAAAAAGTTTGCTGGACAAAAGAAACCTGCTGAAAGATATATGTAAGTACAGACTTGCAGATGTACACTAGAGGTCTGCGCGGGACTGTTTTTTTAGTCCCGCTCCCGCAAGGTTCTATTCTGCACCCACCCGCTCCCGCTATATATTCACTCTCTGTTCGCCCGCTGTCCGGTTAGAATAATTTTCTTCCCGACCCGACCGTTCCCGCTAAATTTAGATCTCGTTTCCAGAATCTCACATTTAAATTGATATAATTCGTCTTGTCAAGAGTCTTGAAGTTATTGACAGCAAATGCTGCCAACACAGTAGGGAAAAAAAGTGTCACAGAGAAAATAAAAATGTTGTACAAAAATTTTATTTCTTATTTTTATTCGTCTTGTCAGGATACAATTCGTTTAACATTTACAACAATAGGGAAAAGTGTCACAGAGAAAAATAAAATAAAAATGTAGGTTGTACAGAAATAGCCTATTTTTATTCCTCTTGTGAAAATACTAAATTCGTTTAACATTTTGCTGTACACACAGTAGGAAAAGTGTCGCAGAGAAAAATAAATAAATAAATACGCTACAACATCTGTCATTTAAAATGATAGGCTAAGCAAAATATAAACAAAACCGAGTTGAACGTCCTTCAAGGACAGCGCAGCCACACTTTGCTCCATCCTTATTCTGCTCTGTCACTCATCCATCACCTGCCTGTTCTGTCTGAGGGCCGTATTTACCAGCATCGTTATTCACAGGCTGCGCACAGACCTCCAAATAAAATGCGTGACTCAGAAAGCGCTGGTTCATGAGTGCAGCGCATGCATAACAGTCCTGAGTGCAGGCTGTACAATAAGAATAAAGGACAGATATGTTGTTCTGAAGGGACGTCGGGAACGGGATATTGTTAGACCGCCCGCTCCCGTTCAAATTACACCACGCTGTAAATAGGTTGCTGTACATTTTACAGTAACTTACTGGCAGCTGGATGCCAGTAAATTACTGTAAAAATGTTTACAGTATCATTACTGTAATGGCATTTACAGTACAATAAATAATTTACTGTATTTTATTTACAGTATACCGTATTTTCATTTTCAATATCATTAATGTAGAGTATATTTTCATTTAGAGATAAATGCTGTTCTTCTGAACTTTCTATTCATCAAAGAAACCTGAAACAATTCTACACTCTAAAAAATGCTGGGTTAAATACAACCCAGTGCTGGGTAAAATAGGGCAAACCCAACATTTGGGCTGTTTTGACCCAGCGGTTGGGTTAAATGTTTAACCCAACTTTCTTGGTAGTAACCCAACCACTGGGTCAAAACAACCCAATTGCTGGGTTTGTTCCAATTTTACTCCGCACTGAGTTGTATTTAACCCAGCATTTTTTAGAGTGTACTCAGCTGTTTTCAAAATAATAATAACAATAATAATAATTGTTTTCTGAGCAGCAAATCAGAATATTAGAATGATTTCTGAAGGATCGTGTGACTGGAGTAATGATGCTAAAAGTTCAGCTTTGATCACAGGAATAAATTACATTTTAAAATATATTCAAATACAAAACAGTTATTTTAAATAGTAAAAATATTTCAAAATTGTACTGTTTTTGCTGTACTTTCGATCAAATAAATGCAGGCTAGGTTAGCAGTAGAGACTTCTTTAAGAAACATTAAAAATCTTACTGTTCAATAACTTTTGACTGGTAGTGTAAATAAAATACAGTAAAAATGAGTTTGTGGTGTGTAAAATTTCAGTCATTTTGACAGTAAAAGTTGACAAGCTCTCCGATGAGAAACAGCAGGATGGGATTCAGGCTGCACCCTCTTTCCAAAATTCCACCTGATCTGTGACTTTCAATGCATTTGGTGCCACAAATGTTGACTGTGAATGAACCTGCAAGCACAAGAAAAAAAACATTATTTTTCAAAGCAGTGTTTACAGAATTTGCCTCGACTGTCAAACTTGTTAGTGCTGTATGCACTTTGACGTTAATAAAAACGTTATATACTACATCTGAACACACCTACAAGGAAGGTACATAATTAGTTGATAATCCATCATATTCAAATTATTAAAGCTCCATTTTTTACAATGCATTCTCAATCAGTAGAGCAAAGTGCTGAAATAATGGGTTTGATTCCAGGGGCAGTTCTACAGTGAGTGGATATCCGGGGCTTAGCCCAGAAACATTAATGCATGTATCAGAATACACGGGATACACTTCAAATAAAATAGGCTATGCTGAAAAGTTACATTGGCTAAGTGGCTTAATTTTTTATTTTTAAAGTTTTTAAAGAAATTAATTATAATCTGCACTTACTTACAAATTGCATAAATAATATGAAATTAATGTTTTAAATGTTTTAATTTAAAGTCGTTGAGTCATTTATTCAATCGATTCGTTAAAAACTGCCGATTCATTCAGGAACTAAGTAAGAAACTGTTTTTATGTTTTATGAAAGGGTCAGTGAATCACTGATTCAAGGCCTTCAAAAAAGGTAAATTAATTCTGTAATGAAACACTGCTGTGTGAAGAGATGCACAACATGGCTTTGTTTAGAACCGTTTTTGCGAAATAGAGCAAAAAGACAATATTTTCTTCACAATTTAAATCACTTATTATTTTAATATTAGCTATTCTTAAAGGGGTCCTATTATGCTCTTTTACAAAGTCTTGATTTTGTTTTGGGGGTGTACTAGAACATGCTCTCATACTAGGTTGTTCGAAAAACACATTATTTTTCACATATTTTAGATTATTACAACACCTCTCTCCCCAGTCTGGCATGAACGGCTCGAATAGTTCCTGTATCAAATGAAAGCCCGCCTTCTGAAATACGAAATGTGCTGTGATTGGTTAGCTGGGCCAGTGTGTGTGTTGTGATTGGTTAGCTGGGCCAGTGTGTGTGTTGTGATTGGTTAGCTGGGCCAGTGTGTGTGTTGTGATTGGTTAGCTGGGCCAGTGTGTGTTGTGATTGGCACCACTCGGCGCCTGGTCGGGAAATGTCATGCCCCTTACCATAGCCGCCTGCGAGCTTCAGTGTAAATATTGCATCAATATCAAATCAATTTGAGTGCGATTTAAACCCGGATGATTGTAACCACTCTAAGTCCGTCTTTCTTGGGAAAGCTAGCGTGTCTCCGATGACACTCGTTGCCTTTTCTAGTGCAGCTCAACCAGGTCTCATCCCATTCGTCGATATTTGTGATATCACAAATCCCGGAAAATATGCATTGTAGTCCAAACGAGTCGTTCGTTGTAGTTTTTGAAAAGTGATTTCTGTTAAATAAAATATCTCCTTTTGAAGTGGACTTTGAGCTTTGTAACTTTGCAGATCTTTGTTATGCTCAAACAGCAACATTACAATTCAATTCAATTCAAGTTTATTTGTATAGCGCTTTTCACGATACAAATCG